CCCCAAAACCCCAAAACCCCAAAACCCCAAAACCCCAAAAATTTTAGCTATTTTAGAATTTAAATTATAAATTTGGAGGAAATAGCAATGAGACAGAATCCCCACATGATGTCTAGAAACAGACATCCCCCTATGTATGCTGAACCATTAAGGTCACAATCAGTTGATGGATTTTTCCTACCTCCAAGACCAATCATCAGCAATCTGCCGCCAATGGTATGTATAATACGCCAATTTGTGATATTTAGAGCCAAAATATTCAAAATTTTCATCCAAACATGACTTCTCGCAACAATACGATGTCTGAAGTAGGCTTCATAATCTGAAATCTCTAGGAAATGCAGAAACAGTTCGAGAAACAAAGAATAGATCACAAAGAAATCAACAACTCTAGTAATTACTCCCTCTATTCTCAAAAATTGTCCCAGTACAAGAACGTGGTCCTTCCTGGCTCAAGCCAGAAGAGAGATAATAGCCAGAACAAATGTATGAATTTTAATGAGAACAAGTACAAGATCCAGCCTGGGCCTAACGCCCAGGCTAAAATCCGTAAAATACTTAATAGAAGATGAAAGCCAGACTCTGAATGAAATGAAAGCCCTTTGGTCCCTCCTCAGCCAGCTCCAATGGCGATGGTAACTTTCTTGATAATTTCTAGAGCATACAGAAATTACAAGAACAAATTGAAGATCTGAACGTAATCAGAGATGAAAATAATAAAGAACTTATCAAGCTAGAAACAGACCTCACTGCCCAAACAGAAAGAGCAGAGAAAGCTGAGAAAGAAAGAGATGAGCTCATAGCTGCTCTGAATGACCTCACTGAGAAGTGTAAACAGGTAGAAGTTACCTGAGATAGACTTGAAGCTGACAACATCAAACTTACCGACCAACTCGAGGCCTTATCACAAGAGTAATTTCCCTTTACATTTGTAGGAGTTACCAGAATAATTCACTCGAGGAGAAAATTAAGACCCAAAATACCATGATTAGCCAGCTTAAAGAAGAAGTGTCCAATAAAGATCAATGGGGAAATGAACTTCTTGAGAAATATGAAAAATCCCTTAATGAGATCTCAATTTTCAAGAAGACTATGAAAGCACTTGACAAAGAGAAAGAGTCTCAGAAGCAGGACTATCAGGAAATAATGAGCAAAGTTAAGCATAAGTATGAGAAAAAGATTAATGAGCTCAATTCATCTATAAAGATCCTCACTCGAACAATGAGTAAGACTCTTCTCTTATTTCTAGCTCAATTTGAGAATGCACAGAAGGAGAAATTCGATAGTATCTACAATAAATGTCAGAAAACTCTTGAGCAGGATTTCGATCTCTCAATGTCACATAGCTTTGATCATGGAGCTGTGTACAACAAGAAGCCACCTATTGGAGAGAGTTTTCAAGAACTTTCAGACAAAGATATCCTTGAAAATGACACTTTGTTCATCTCGCCCAGCGAACCAAGCAATGAAAACGAGAGAATTCAGAGGTTAATAAAACAAGAGAAAGAAAAGAACAGACTTTTGATGCAAGAACTAAGCTGATTTGATGAATAGCCTTGCTTCTTTTTCAACCTACAGATTGAATTATGGGGTTTTGGGGTTTTGGGGTTTTGGGGTTTTGGGG